TCCTTTCTTTACTACACTTTTGTTCTTTATTTCTTTCATTTTGTCTTTCTTTTTCTTTTCTTATACTATCTTTTATTCTTATATTGTTTTCATTTGTCATGGTTATTCTCGGAATAGTATTAATTAAACATTCTATTTGCGATATGGTAACTATGATTATACTACTTACTTTTATTTTTATTATAAGTGTGTTTAAATAAGAATTGATTATAGTGTTTATAATTATGATAAAATGTAATAATATGATTATTGCTATTATTTATTTGAAACTACTTATAATTATATCATTGATAATGTCATATAAATCATTTTGGGAGTGAACATTACTTTTATGTGATTATCTTGACATTCATGTGTTATATAGTAGCATAAATAGAGTTTAAAAGAATATTAACATTAATAATTTAATAATAAAAAACAAAAAAAAAGAATATTTTAAAAATAAAACAATAATCTCAAAAACATTTATCAAAATGAGAATTTTTTTTGTTTTTGTTTAAGACTACCAAGAAGACTTTTTGCTTTTTGTTTAAAAGAATTAATTTTATTTCTACCTTCTTTGATATAACGAAGTGCGATTTTTCTTTGATTATTTAAAGCTTGTTGAGCTTTTCCATAGTCTCGAGCAGGATTTTTTTTTGGTAAACTTTCAGATAAATCGAATTCCATATCTTCTATGTCAAGATTAAAGAGCTCTGAAAGTGTTTCATCAGACAATTCATCAAATAAATCATAAGAAGTTACATTAACAAAACAACACAATAACAAGAGAACAAATAACATTATATTTTTTAAAGTTCTTTTTATTTAATTTTCATTTATTTTTTAATTTTAATAGAAACAATAAAATAATTGAATCAATTGAAGTTATTTAATTGGTTTTAATTGTGATTTAACACCTCCAGCTTTAATTTTAGCAATTAAAACAGCCATAGGATCTTCTCCATCAGCAACTTTAGTTCCAATATTTGATTTATTAACTATTTTCAAAGTTTTAGGAGATTCTGTAGGTTGTTTCATTTTTTTAATAGAAGATTCAACAGTTAAAATGAATTGTTTAAATAATCCAAAGAAATCTTCTGTAGTCATTTTATTTGCATCAGAAGGATTTCCAGTTGTCCAAATAATAATTTCTTTTGTTTTTTCTTCTAAAGTAATTGCTCGATTTAATAATTCAGTGACTTTAGTTTCTTGTGTTTTTAATTGAGAAACAAGGTTTTTCATTGCTTTATCGTTTGCATCAACTATTTTAGCAATCATATTTTTAACTCCTTCCATTTCTTTATTAACACTTCTAATTCCTGCTAATAATCCTTTTAAATCAATTGCTGCACTTTTAACAGGTGCTAATTGTTCAGGAAGATCTTCCATTCTAGTCATTTGTTTTAATGAATACTCTAATAAATTACTTGTTCCATTATTATCTTTAACATCTTTTAATTTTAAAAGAAATTCAATATTAAATCCATCAGCTTGTCCTCTTGTTTGATTTCCTCCATTTAAATAATTTCCAAGACTAACAACTATTCCAAGGAATTTTTTATATGCAAAACTTTCTTTTAATGCTTTAATTCCTGCTTCTACTTTATTAAGTTGTTCTGGATATTCTTCAATTTTTTCAGGTAATGTTTGAATAAATTCCCATGATGTTAATCGTTCTTTAACTCCATGAATACTTGAAATATTATAAAAGAATAATTCTACTGGATCTATTTCATTTTTATTTGCATCTGCAAATAATGCTATTTCTTCACTTGTTAATAATGAGTCTTTAATTGTTTTTAATAAGTCTGGATTTAAAATATTAGAATTTAATTCTTTAATTGCTGAATTAAGAACAGGTTCTTTTGGTAATCTACTCTTAATAATACCAAGTTGATTATATCTTTTATCATCTAATAATCTTGTATATTCTTTTTTATTTTTATTATTTCCTCCAATACTTTTATTTTCATCATTATTTCCAATATGTGTAGTAGTGTTTTTCTTTTGTTTAAACATTTCAATAATTTCTTTTTCATCTACTCTTACTTCTTTAATTTCTCTCCATATTGATTTGTCATTATTCATATCTATAACAATACGATTCCAATATAATGGTCGTAATTTTTCTGCTGGTTTAATAGCTTTCTTATTTAATTTAGTTTGTGCAGGAGCAAGTCCTGGTGGAGGTGGCATACCTTTACCCATAGGAGGTGGTGGGGGAGGTGCTCCTGGCATTCCAGGAGGTGGTGGGGGAGGTGGTACTCCTGTAGCACCTGGAACTCCAGGAGGAGGTGGTGGTACTCCTGGAATAGGTTGTGTTCCAGGAGGGGGAGGTGGTGGTAGAGAAGATGAAGATTGTTGTGAAGTAGTAGGAATAGAAGGAGGTAGTGGTAAAGAAGAAGAATTAGAATCATTAGAAGGTACTTGTAAAGTTGACATATCAAAAGTAGGAGGTGGAGGAGGAAGATCAGAAGAAGTAGTTTGTAAAGATTGTTTTAATTTCAAATTTTCTTTTAAAGAATCATTTTCTTTTTTTATAGAAGTAATTTCAGTCATTAATTCTTTAATTTTACTTTTTAAATCAACACAGTCATATTCTAATTTTAATTCATTTGGTTTTAAACTATCATACATTCTTTTATATTTCCTTAATTCAATTTTTAATTGATCAACATTATTAGTAAATTGAGAACCTTTAGATCCCATAATATCAAGTTTAGCTTGAGCACTTGCAGCAGCACTAACTTCTTTATCATATTTTCCTTTTAATTCTTTATATTCTTTTTCCATTTTATTTTTTTCATCTTTAAGTAAATCAAGTTCTTGTAAAGTATCATGAAGAATTTGATCATTTTTAGTAATTTTTTCTTCCATTTCAGTAGTTTTTTTCTTTTCTTCGATATATAAAGTTTGATAATCAATAGGACCAACTGGAAGTTTTACTGAAAAAATAGTTTTTACTTCTTTTAATTTCTTTTTTAAGTCATCAACTTTACATTTTGTTAACATTTTTTTAATAATGTTATCAATTCCTTGTTCTTTTAAGTCTCGAATTATTTGATTTTTATTTTCAACTGATGGAGCAGCTTCAAGCATAGTTGTAATTAATGTTAATGCATTTAATTGAACATCAATTTCATCAATTTCAAGCATTTTAATAATATTATTAAATATTTTTATTGAATTTGTTTTTGCATAATTTTTTGCAGCACACATAAAAGAAAAGAATCCATCAAATGCACATAATACAAAAACTAATTCAATTGCTTGTTTTGAAACTGAAGTAGGAATAGTAGGATCAATCAATGAATATAATAATTCAACTAAATCTTCATTTTTAACAATTCTATCCATACCATTATTATATCCCATTAATTTCCTTAATAATTGCATTGCATAATTTTGAATATTACCATGATTATTCATTGTAATATTAAGTATATTTTCAATTCCATCTTGTTCAATAAATTCACTTGCAACATATGGATCATCTAATACCATTTTGATTTTAAATAATATTTGTTTTAACTCTTCTCCTGTTTTTTGTTCTAATAATTCACTAATAATTTTTGCACAAATTGTAGGATGATAAACAATTTCAATCAAATCATTTATTCCAACATTTGTTTTTCCATATGAATCTTCATCAATATATTCAAAACAACAATATGGTGGTTGTCCTTTTTTTACACGAAGACAATATTTCTCAATATCTTCAATTTTAAAACTTTCACCTAAACTTTTCATAATTTCATTAAATGTTCCATTTCCAAAGTTATCAATAACTTTTTGACCTTGTATAGTTTGACCAAAAATATCAGGATATTTAATTTCCTGTTGCATTCTTTTAAATTCTTCTAATTTTTTTTAAGTTCTTTTTTTGTTTTTTTTTTTAATTAGAATTAAATAGTTTTTATTTAATAAATTTATTATAATTTTATTTATATTCTACAATCTTCTTATTGTTTTTATTAAAATTTGTTACAAAATAAACAAATAATCAAAATAACAATATTATACTTCTTTTCTATTTATTTAATTAAACCTAAAATAAATTACAGTTAATTTATATTTTCAATTTATTGGTTGAACAACATCAAATGGAATAAATCCAAATTTAAATTCATTTCCAATTAATCCAACTCTAACATTTCCTTCTTTTTTTCCAAGAAGATAAACTAAATCACCAACAGAAACATCAATTTCATCTTTATTTTTAGCATGATAATCAGAACAACAAACAAATTGAAATACTTTTAAGAATTCTTGAACATGATTTCTTGGAAAAATTCCTTCTTTTCCTTTACATCTTCCTTGCCACCAATCTCCTTCTTTTGCTGTTATTTCTATTATATCATCTTTTTCTAAATTTAAATCATTTATTTCTTCTGCTTTAAATGGATGAAGTACAACACATTTTCCTAATGAAGTTGATGGTTCTTGTGAAACACATGACATTTTTTCATTTACTGGTGTTTCTGTTGAAATAATTTCATCTGGAATTTGTTTAGGATAAAGATCAGTATTAATATTTAATGCAACACATATTTGATTACAGTAATGTGTTTCAAAGAATCTACTGATCCCTTCTTCACCTAAATTAGTTGATGAATTTGAAAATTTATTTTCTGATATTGAAAGAATAGCTGGATCAGTTAAATAAAAACAATTTCCAATTTGAATTCCTTGAAGATCAACAATAATTAATTGGTGATTACTAATACACCAACTCCAATGACTAAATGCATGTAAAGTTGCATGATATGAATCAAACCATAAATTTCCATTATTACAATTAAATTTAATAAATTCTCCATGAAGTAAAGGTTCAACTAAGAATATTCCATTTTCAATTAAAGGTTCTAATTCTTTTTTATTTAATATTTTTTCATCATAAATTCCTTTAAATGAATTTGAAATAAATAATGTAGTTGGAATAAATTGAATTTGTTTTTCTGTAACATGAAGTTGATTAAATTCAATAGCTAAACTTGAACAAACACATTGTTTTTCTATCGTTTCAATAAAAACATCAAATTTTCTTTCTTTATTAAACCGTTTTAAAACTATTTCTCTTTCACTTTTTGTAAATATTCCTTCAAATGCAGTTCTTTCTCCTCCTTTTCCAAATGATGCACTTCTTGCTTCAATCCTTTCTCTTTTTAATTTAAATTTATCAATATGCTTTCCTTCATTAATTAATTTTCTAACTTCAGAACATGTATAAGGTATTTCTATATGATATCCATCTGCTTCTACATTATATTTTGTCCGTTTCATTGAATTTTTCTTATTTGTTTCCTGTTATGTATTTTTAGTCCTTTTTTTTGAATTAAACTCCTTTTTTTTTCAAAGAAAAAGAAGAAAATAAAATGTTAGAAAATAATAATAAAATGTATTTGTTTGTTAATTTTTACTTTCTTTTAAGATGGCGTAAGAACATTTTATCAATACTACCATACATTTAACAATTTATATAACTATTTTTACAAATAAATTAAATTATGAAAATAAAATGAATTAATCAACTCTTCCTGTAGGATTTTCATTTGTATTATTATCTTTCATTTCTTCATGAATTAATGGTGTAGTTTCACGTTCATAAGTTTCTTCATCTCCTTGTAATTTCTCTTGTTCCTTTTGAACAACATGTTGTTCTCTAAATTTCCTATCAACTTTTTCTCTATCAGTTTCAAGTTCTTCATTAACAAGAAATGGATCAATTTGTGCTAAGTCTTTCTCTTTTCTTGGTTGACCTCCAAAATATTTCTTCAAAAATAGTTCATCTAACATTACAAACATCTTTCTCATTGCCTTCTTCTTATTACTTGAAGCTTCATTTATATCTACTGTTTCATTTGATTCTATCTGACGAACATTTAATGGTTCACTACCACCCATTTCAATTTTCATTAATTTCAATAAACCTGGAGTAGTCATTCCAATTACTATATTAGTAAAAAGAACAATAGAATATGTTGTGTTAATGACATTAGGATTATTCATTTGTAGTGCTAGAATAACAGCAATTGCTCCTCTAAGCCCAGCATACCATAACATAATTTGAAGTCTCCAGGTAATTTTTGGGGCTTTTGATCTAAAATTCATTAACAAAGAAATAGGAAATACATTGAATGCTCTTGAGACAAAACAAAGAACTAGAACATATGGAATAAATAATGGATTCCAATAGTCAGCTGTTAAATTGGATGGATTAAACATAGTAATTCCTACTGATATAAATGTTAGTGTTTCTCCTACAAAAGCTAAAGTACCAACAGAGACATACAACACAGGTCGTTGATTCTCTGGAACTGAATACCAGTGATGATGAGACATTATAGCTCCCGTTACAAAAATAGTTAAAATCCCTGACATTTCTAATAACTCTGAGACAAAATAACCAAGAAAAGCCACACCCAGAATTAACAACAAATTGAATGTTCCTGAAAAATGCATTACTTTCATTTTATTCATTACAAATGCTGAGAAATAAGAAACAAAAAGACCTATCACACATGACCCAAAAGAAATAAAAAGAAATTCACCTACGATTTTCAATAAATCTAACCATCCAAATGATTCTAAAGATTGGTCTAACGTATGGAATAGTACAATAGAAACAGCATCATTTAAAACAGATTCTCCAAATACTAATGAATATAAATAAGGATCAACATTTAATTCAAGAAATAGTGCAAGTGTTGCAACTGGATCAGTTGCACCAAGTAATGTTCCAAATTGTAAAGACTCAGACATAGTTAAATTATGTGAGCCTAAACTAATTACTTTTGTGTCAATAAACGTATAACCATAAATACCAAATCCTATAATTAATGAAGATAAAACACATCCCCCTATAGCATATGACAAAATAGGAATAATGTTCTTAAAGAAATTACGTTTCTTCATTGTAAAACCAGCATTAAAAATAATCAACGGAAGAAATATGGTTTGAAAAATTCGAGCAAAATCACTTCCATTCAATAAATAATCAATTCCAACATAATGCAATGCTAACAAAATTAGTCCTATTGCAATACCAATAAATAATGATACAATTGATTCGGAAAGTATGTGAAGCCATGGAATAAGTCTTACAATAATATGACACAATAATGTAAACAAAAAGACTGAAACAATTAATAATCCAGCTATTTCATATAAATTGTTGTCTTCTTCACTTACGCTTGAAGTTGTCACCATTTTAATCCTTATTTCAATCTTTCTTTTTCTTGATAATTTTTTGATATAAAAAAATTTTTTCTATTAAAATTGAACTTTTATTTCTTCTCCTTTCTTCTTTCAGAATTCCTTGGAAGTTTCTTTTTAAGTCTATCCCACTTTTTTACTAATATGATTGTTATTTATAACACTCTTTATCCTAAAAATATAAACACTTATTATAAAGAACTTTTTCCTGTTTGACAGTGAATATTTTTAAGTTTTTTCTGAGAAAAGTGAAAAAAAAGATAACCCAATCCCGAATTTTAATTTTTTATTCAAGATTCATTTATTTATTCATGTCTTCAGCTCAACCAACTACCACTAATTCTAATCAACCTCAATACCCTGTTGATGCAGCAAATCAACAATATCCTGGTTATCCTATTCAACAGTCAATGAATTCTCAGCAACCAGTAAGTACTGGAACTACTCCAGCTACAGGAGCTCAACCATATCCAGCGTACAACGCTCAACAACCAACTCTAAATTTACCAAATAATAACCAATATTATGGACAAGCTGGTACTTTTAACCCACAACAACAACCAAATCCAATGCAACAACCAACTAATCCAATACAACAACCAACTAATCCAATACAACAACCAACTAATCCAATACAACAACCAACTAATCCAATACAACAACCAACTAATAATACAACTAACCAACAAAGAGTTGATGGTTCATCCAACACTTGTACTTCACAACAAACTACTACTCCATCACAACAAAAAGGATGTCAACAACAAGAATATAACACTCAACAACAATATTCAGGATATGGTGTTCAAGGAAAAGATGGACAACAACCAATCCAACAACAATATCCGGGGTACAATATTGAACAACCTAATGAACAACAACAAAAACAAACTGATAAACATAACTCTCAACCAACTGCTACTTCATCATCAATCCCTTACACCCAGCAACAAACTGCTACAATTCCACAACAAGGAAATAATGATCCTTCAAGTGTTGGTATATCTCCATTACCTCCTGCTGGAATGAGTGGACAACAACAGAATGGACAAGTTAGTGGAGGATATAATGCTTATCCAAATATGCCTAACGTTCAACAACAAATGACTAATGCTGTTCCACCACAAACCACTCCACAACAAGCAAAAACACAACCAAGTGGACCACAATATCCAGGATATAATATTCAACAAGCAGATGGAAAACAAAACATTCCACAGCAACAATATACAGGAAGTAATCCCCAACAACAACCATATTGCCAAATGGGAGGATATGTCAATCAACAACAATACCCAGGATATGGAATAAATCCAGAAGCAGAACGATACAACCAAGTCAATAATTTTGGATCTCAACAATATCCAGGGTACAATATGCCACAGGGAATACAACAATATGGACAAATAAATGGAGCACCAAGATTTGATCAGATGCCTCCTGGATACAATCAAATGGGAGGAATGCCATATTATGGAACACAACAATATCCAGGTTATAATCAAATGGGAGGAATGCCACCAAGTTATGGCTCTGGTTTTTAACATATTTTAATTGTTTCATTTCTATTTATCATTTTAAAGTAAAATCTAAACATTTCTGCATTTAAAAAAAGGAGGAAATACAACTAAATAGAAACAAGAAGATTTATCAATAAAAGTATTTAACTTTTTGACTTTTCTTTTTTTCTAATATTTCAATTTATTTATTTTTTGGAAGATTTTTGATTGGCTATTTTGTCTCTAATAACACAAATAATAATTTATTTTTGTCAAAACTATAATTATTATAAGATTTTACTAATATTTATTAGTTTATTTCTCCTTTTTTTCGTTTTTTTTATTATTCAAATTGGATTGTTTTATTTCTATTTTTAATTCCTTCATTTCTATTTATATAATTATATTATATGTTTTATAATTGAATTATTTTGATGTTATTCTTTCTTAACTCAATTCAAATACAAAAGATGTATAAAGAGAATAAACTAAATGAGAAAAATACTAAAAAATAATATCCTTATTTTTAAATATTATTATAACTATTTAAATGATTGAAAAATTAAGTTATAAAAGTTCATTTATTAATTGAATATCATTACGAATTAATAACATTTTTCAACTTATTCAAACAATGAAATAAAAATGAACATTAAACAATCATAATTCTATCAATTTCATTAAGATGGATATGAAACTAATTCAATATATACATTAATTGATAAGAAAATAATGAATAATTATTTGTTAAAATATTTTGAAAAGATAAAAATTATTGAAAACTTATTTATTCAATAAAATAATACTGTTAATTCATTTGTTAAAAAAACTGAAAAAAAAATATAATATTAAAATATCAAGAATAATATTTGTCTACACTAATAATGAGAGTTATATAAATAGTATTAATAATACAGAAAGATATATTATATAAGAATAAAATGATTAACTATATGATTATTAACAAAGAAATACTTTAAATATGTATAAATGAGTTAGAATACCTCATTTAAGATCATATTGGATTTTGATTATTCTACTACTTTATAACAAATAAAAACAAACACTTTTGAAGATTATATTAAAAATTATAAATGATAAATTAAGTAAAAAGAAATAATGAATTTAAAATTAAATGTAATAAGATTTAAATAAAACACAAATAAACTTAAAGTTCAATAAAAAATGAAGATAATTTAATGAAAAATGATTTGTTAATATAAAATGGAATTTCTTTAATCAAATTTAATATAAGGTTATTAATATACTTAAAAACCAAATATTAGTTTTTATTAAAAATAAAAAGAAATAAAAAACCATTTAGATTATTCTAGTAATGATGTTATAATGTCTAAAAATTTACCAAATTCTATTGGATTAAATGGTTGAATAATTCCATAATATGGATTCATTGTAATCAACTGATATGCTGTTCTTGTTTGAGCAGCAAAAGCACATAAAGCAATCCAACAATTTAGATCACAAATTGTACTACCATGAGCAAAAAGACGATGTAATACAATGGCAGTTCTTTGATTAACAAAGAAACCAAGAATTCTCAGTGCTGGA